GGCACCACCGCTCGGCCTCGGGCACCTGAGGGACGACCTGGAGCACTCCAGGGGCACCACCGAGGGTCCAACAAGGCACGCTCACACACCCGTGCGGGGGCGTGTGGCGTGGCAGCGGCACAGCCCTCCCCACCGCGGGGAGGGCCGCTCGCGGGGCAACACGCCAGGAAGGCGAAAGCAAGCGCATCTGCTGTGTCTGAAGACCAACGGCCCCACCAGACACCCCAAGGCGGGGGACGGGAGACCGAAGGTCAGGGCCGGAGGCCTCACCCCAACACCCCCTGCCTTCCTCACCCTCCCCAAGGGGCAAGGGGGGAAAGACAGGCGAGGGGCACCGCGGACAGACCGAGAAGAGCGGACACGTTCACTGGGAACGCCCGTCCCTCGTCCGGCACGGCTTAGGCCCGGCCCGGGAGAGCACGACCACACCACATCAATCAGTTGAGCCAAGGTGGGGGGGTGGGGGTGGGGAGAGGGCACAGGCGAGGACAGCCACCAGAAGGGCCCGCTTTAAGCCTCACTGGCAACCGGCAACCTCCGGCAACCTTCCCCCTCCCCGCCACCAACAACCCCACACCTCAGGCGAGGGCGACCGACGACCCCAGGAGGAGAACGCCTGACACGTGGCACGGAGCCTACAGGGCGGGGGTCGTCCCAGCCACCACCGGCTGCCCGCAGCGGGGAGCGCAGAGTCATCAATCAAATCAAAGACCCACACCGCCTCGCCCCACCGCCCTCGGGCCGCCCTGGGACCAGAGGTGGCACCACGAGCCGGGTCGGCCAGACACACCACACGGGAGCCGGCGCACAGGGCCCAGGCGGGCGGCTCCAGCGGCAGAGGCCAAATCAGGCGCCGGCTGGCGGCCCAAAGGCCCAGAGCCCCGCGTGCATCCAGAGACCCAAAGTTCTCGGCGGCAGACACCAAAGCAGACCGTGTCAGCACTTACCTGGTGGCAAAAAAGACCTATTTCGGGCGACACAATGACAGCAGCCGACAGCAGGGCCCATCTACGACTCGCAGGGAGGGACCCCGGAACCTTGACCCGGCCACCTGTTCCCAGCACTACCCCACGAACACCAGGCCTGGAGCTATCGGGGGCCATCTGGTCGACTTGGGGGGGGGGGGAGGGGGAGGGGGGAGGGAGGGGGCCGCGTGGTGGCAAAAGTGGGGACGCGGACGCCAAGGGAGAGGGAGCTGGCCGGAGACGCCCTCCCCGCTTCGCCCACACGCGTAGGCGGACCGGTCCGTCCGAGTCTCCGAACGGGGACTTGGCTTCGATGTGCATAAAGAAAAAAAGAAGAAAGCAACGTCAGCGAGGCGCCTCCAACAAGACGAGCCGGCCCCGACCAGGGACCACGCCCGGGGCCCAGACCGTCCTACACGGGGCACCCAGGACGGCTCGAGCCGGTCCCCACCCACCTCCTGACTGACCGGGATTCAGGGAGGTTGGGGAGGGGTGAGAAAAAGTCGCGTCCGACGACCGAGACCCACGAGGGCACGCTGTATGGTCGAGCGCGCCCTCCCCGGCCACCCGCGGGAGCAGGGCCCGGTCCATCCACGTCTCCGGACCTATCGGGACTTTGAGAAAGAAAAGGCATGCGTGCCGGGAGACGCCTCAGGCGACAGGACCCCACCGGGGGACCGCACACGCGCCCGCGCCGGCCGTCCTCTCCGGGTCAGCCCTCACGACTCCGGCGGGCGGGTCCCCACCTGGGGAGTGCGACGCGGAAAACACCTCTGTCAGAGAGAACCCGAGGGCCCGGACCCAGCCGCGCCCTCCGCCGACCTCCACGCCACAGTCCGGGCCGGTCCCCACCTCCGGAGCGGGGCCGAGGGCGAAGCACACGCTCCTGAGGGCGACCCGGGAGGAGGCCGGACCGCCGAGTCCGAGTCCAGGCGCTCCGGGCAGGGAAGACCCTCTCCCTGCCCACCGCGGCGGGCCGGCCCAGGTAGGGTCCGGCCGGTCCGTCTCCACGGCCGGAGGGGCACGGGGAGATGCTGGTCGACCCGGCCAGGCCGCCCCAGAGCCCCGATCTGGAGCGCCGCGACAGTCACCCTCCTCAGAAGCCTAGAGAACCAATCTCCGCAGACAGCAGGACGTCCCCAGGCCTCGGTGTCCCCGGGACTGTCACCGCCAGCGTAGCCGGTCTCTGAGAGCTCTGCCTCGGGCCCGGTGGCTGAGTCACAATCCTCCTGAAGGCCTCGCCGAAGCTCCGGAGGGGGAGGGACAATATAGAAGCGGCCGCCAGGTGGCTCCTGACAAACGGCTCGACCGTCCCGAGGACGGGTCGCTGTCGCCGGGCGCCGAGGACGCCACCGCGCCGGCCTCCCAAACGCCCGAGCTCGGCCCGGAGCCTCCTCCGCCTCCGAGCCACACGACGCGACGCGACCCCGGCCGCAGAGGAAGGGAGAGGAGCTGGGAACTATCTCCTCAGGAGGCTGCCCCGAAGGAGACGCGCTCCCCCCCCCCCCCCACACACACACACACGCGCGATTCCAGGGTGGTGGGGGGACGTTCCACGGAGACGCTGGCGGCGGGGGCCCGGGGGCCGAGAGAGGGGCAGCAGTGACATCCCGGGCTCCCCCGGACCCCCTCCCCCCAAAAGAGGGAGGGAGGGGAGGAAGGAGGGAGGGAGGGAGGGAGGGAGGGAGGGAGAGAGGGACCGACCGGCAAAGCGAAACCAGGCAAGCGCTGCTCGGAGAACAAAGCAGGACTTTCGAAAGCAGACACAGACACAGACACAGACACGCAAGCCCAGGAGCAAGAAAGGAAACGAAGGAGACACTCGGACCCCCAACAAGAGGAAACAAAACTCAACCTGGGTAGAGACCGTGACCAAGTCCAAAGACAACAAACACAAGCATGCGCGGGTGGGTGGGGAAAGTGCACTTGAGGTCAGGAGAACATGGATTTCAAGATCACTGGCCACAAACACCGGAAAGGCGGGCGGCCGGGCGGTCTCGGGTGGCAGGGCTGCGGGGGGTGGGGTTGAGGGAGGGGCGCGGTGGGGAGGACCGAGTCAATAGGGATCCACTAAATAAACCCCGGATTCCATGACAACAGCCAAGTCAATGAAGACATAACTTTCTGAAGTAGCACCTAAACGAAATGAAACAAAACCACCAGGCAGGAAAGTCAAGTCATAGAACTGCTCTGGCAGCTTAAAAGTCAGAGGGAGGGAGGGAGGGAGGGGGAGAGAGAGAGAGAGACAGAGAGAGACAGAGGCAGAGACAGAGAAAGAGAGAGAGAGAGAGAGAGCGCACATGTGCATATACGCATGTACGTATGTATACGGACACATATTGGCATCTATATATACGTGCACACATGCGTCTAAACAAGTCCGTACGAAGGGCATGCATGCTCACGTACGCGCATGTGTCTGTGTGTGCACGTATATGCCTAGGCGTTTATAGTGTGCATGGTTGCTTGCGTGTATATACGCATGCACAGGCATCTATCTATACACACACGTACACGGATATGCACGCGCATGAATGCACATGCTCATATGTGCCTATACGTAGATATACATACCTACATTTAAACAAACACGGGCGTGTAAACGCATATAGATGCACACGTGTGTGTACGTGTGGTGTATACGCACAGGTGTGTGTGCGCGTATATGCGGACACGGACGTGCATGCTTACATATGCACACATATCCGCCTGTGTATATGCACACGTGTACGTACACGCGTATACATACATATGTACGCACGCCTAGACGTCTACATATAGCGTATATACGTCCACACAGACGTACGGCTGTATATGTGTATATATACGCATGTACGTATGTACAGTTGCAAGTGTGTGTATACAGTGCATATACACAGATTGATGTGCATGGATGCGCACACACACGCGCATGTGCATACGCGCGTGTGCATGTGTGTGCGCGCGTATGTATACATACACGTACGTATTGGTCAGTGTACGTGTACCTATGTGCATACATACGCATGTGTCTGTGTAGATGTCTCCGCGCGCGCGTGTGTATATACATATAGGCGTAGATATGTACATATATATGTGTATATGTACATATACACACACACAGACCTACACGTACGTACACAGGCAGAAACACACATCCGTGTGTGTGTGTGTGCGTGTGTGCGTGCGCGCATACCAGGAAAGCGCAAGCATATGGCCAAAGGGGATTTTCCGTCCAAAACTGATCAAGGCGTCAGACAACTGAACCTCCAAAAGAGAAACAATCCCCGATGAGCGAGGTCGGCAGGAGGCCCGAACAGACAGCTTCATTCAAAATAAAGGTAGAACAGACAGACACTCAAGAAGCACAAGGTAGGAAACAAATCAATGGCGGGGCTGGGCTGGGCTGGGCTGGGGTTGCTGGGGGTGGGGGCGGGCTCAGGGAAGCACCCCGGGGCGTTTATCTGGACAATGATAACTTGGAGGGGAAAGGCCCAGGAGCTGGACTCGCAATCGCGACAGCAAGTTCGAAACATCAGAAGACAGTGGCTCCTGATCGAGGGAATGCGTCTTTCCTGCAGCTGAGAAAAGTGTTGGCGGACTCAGAGATATCAGAGCTCATCCCCTGGCACCTCACAGAGAGAGAAACCCCATCACTAGGGAAACGAGTCCTGGGATCCCTCAGGACACTCCACCAAAGATTCCCCATCCGACCCAACCTGGCAACTCCACGGAGTGCCTACGGAGGGGACCAAGAAGATATGCGCGTGTGTATGTGTGGTATCGACACCTATACCCAGGTAGACATCCGTACAAACAGAATGATAGAACTCTCCGTCTGTGTGCCCACACCTGTATCTATTCAGGTGCGCGTGTGCGCACGCGCATGCAAACACACCCCCACCCACACCACGCCCACCCACCCACCCACCCACCCACCCACACACACACACAAATGGGACTCAACCACCAGAAGGGAATGAAATCTCACAGTCTGCAGGAACTTGGAGAGATCTTTAGAAAGGCTATTATGCTAAATGAAGCACCTCAGATCAGTCGTTTCCATGCAGAATCTACCAAAGGATACACCGTGAACAGAACAGAACAAATCAGAAGCAGGCTCATAGATACCACAAAGAAACACATGGGTGGTGGCCAGAGGAGGGAGGGGGGTGACACGGTGGCGGGGGTGGGTGGGGAGGGGGAGAGAATGAGTGAGTGCCACTGGTGACGGAGACAGACGAAGCGGTGCAGCCTTCCACGGATGAAATCAATGAGTCACGGGCACGTCATGACACCAAATGCCATCTGCCGTGACACCGAGTGGTGACGGACAGTCACTCACGAGATGTATCCTGGTGATCGCTGTGTCCTTCCTGCGCTACACTGAAACATCGTCTGTACACCTGGAAATTAATGGGGGAACAGCAACAGCAACAAAACCAAAAGAAGGAAAGAAGGAAGGAAGGAAGGGAGGGAGGGAGGGAGGGAGGGAGGGAGGGAGGCAGGCAGGCAGGCAGGCAGGCAGGCAGGCAGGCAGGCAAGAAGGCAAAAGAAAACCTTGTCAGTCAGTTAGACGTCAATTTGAGAAGAGTGGGACTGAGAGGGCTGGGGGCGAGACACTAGGGTGAGGAGCAGGAGGAGGAGCAGGAGCAGGAGCAGGAGGAGGAGGAAGAAAAGGACCAAGTGCCTTGAGGGGAAGAGGGAGATAAAGGATCCAAAGAGTGGACAGGACGGTCAGGTCAGTGCCATAGGGGAAGGAAACGAAGCCAAGGAACACATTCCCAACGGTGGTTTTGTTCAGCCCAAGATCAAGATGCGGATAGCACAGTGTCCTTCCTCCAGCACACAGGGACACACACAGGCCTCACTTGGCGAGGCAGTTCAGGATAACCCTGAAAGCTGAAGCTGAGAAAAGAAGCCATCACGTTCATCCATGGCTGAAAAGTACCATGGTCCTACGACATGACATTCAAAAATCCTACCAAACCATTGAAAGACTCTCTCACTCACTCGCCGTTAAAAATGTAGAGGACAGAAAAGGAGCGAAACGATGGTGGGTGGGTGGATGGATGGGTGGATGGATTTCCATGATAGTCTGATTATGGAACACACTGGCACAAAAGCATCCGATTCCCTTTTGTAAAGAATCTGTCTTGCCTTCCCGGCCCGGTGTCTTTCGGATGTCTGGATGATTCCCTCCCCCACCCCCACTCCCAGCTTTAAGATCAGCCTCCAAAACGAAGCCCTGTGTGCTCTCAAGGTCCCGCCGGAACTACCTCTTCGGAGCGCCCTTCTGAAGGGGAACGTTTTCACCCACGTCATCGCCCTGAGACGGCTTCGGCCTGTCCCTCCCCTCCCCCCACCGCCGCCTCCCTCCCTCCCTCCCTCCTGCTCCTCTTCCTCTTCCTCCTCCTCCTCCTCCTCTGAACTCTTGAGCTTCTCCTCTCACCCCACACGGCGGCAGTGTTGGCCTAGGTATGCTCAGGTGTTTCCTAACCGCATCCAAGCGGACTTCCGCTGTTTGTCAGCTGCGTCGTTCCGGGACCATTTCTTCCTGGACTTTTCCACGGGTGGGGGAGACCTGGACGGGCCGGGCCCAGGCGGCGTGGGGTTGAGGGTGAGGGAGCATGCATACTGGGGGGGGGGGGGGGGGGGAAGGGTGGGGGCAGAGAGGAGGAGGGGGGGGGGGGGGAGGAGGAGAAACACAACTCCCCAGTGCCAGTGCGTGCCTATGGCCTGGAAAACAGATCACACGCCAGGCTGGCTCCGGAAAAGGGGGATCGGTCATGAGACCGGGCACGTGTGTCCTTTGCAGAGTCCCTGCAGATCGAACAGGCAGGGGCAAATTTTGGGCTTCCCGCAGTTAGAACTGTTCGGCCATTGTGGAAACAGGCGTCTGAAACACCGGGGTTAGGCTCTCGGTGCGATGTCCACAAGCCGTAGCCATTGAAATGTGTGCACACTGGAGCCGCCATGTAGAGGGAGATCTCATCCGACTCCATGTGCTCTTCCAGTGAGTAGGCCGGGATCTCAGGAAGAACAGACATCCAGGGAGTTGCGTGAATCTGAGCGTCACGCTTTCAGAATCCAAGTGAACCAGAAAGGAGGTTCACTCACGTGTGAGTTGGTCTTTCCATAGGCTGAATCCTCTCTTTGAGCAGATTAGGGTTCCGGGGGCAAAAATGGAGCAGAGAGCACAGAGAGTTCCCTTAGGTCCCCTGCTCCTCCCGCAACGGTCTTAGGAACATCCTGCCCCAGAGGAGTGTGCCGGCCACAACCCACCTACACCGAGACGTCAGTGTCAGTCATCCTCGTCCAGAGTCCCCCCCCCCCCCCCCCCCCCGTCTGCCCTCGCCTTCACGCCTGCCTGGCATTGTCCGTTCTATACGCTTGTATCGAACCTGCCCGGAGCCCAGCGGCATCTTCCCTGATCGGGGATTGATCGAAAACACCCTGTCCCCTGCCTCATCGGCAGGTGGATTCTTAGCCACTGGACCACCGGGCAGGGAAGTCCCTTCACAGCCTTCTGAAATCATCTACCCTGAAACACGAAATGTTGTCGTCCAAACCATTGGACCGTCACGACTGCAATGAAGGAAAATAGGTTCGTTAAAGAAAGTCTCAACTCCTCAGTGCTTGCCTTAGAACCACAAAGGCATCTCTCTCTCTCTCCCTCTCTCTCTCTCTCTCTCTCCCCCCCCCCCCCCCGCGCCCCACACACACACGCACGCTCCACAGTCCGAAGGAAACCAACTTCTGTGTTTATCCATCCCACTTGTTGTGGCTGTTGTGCCGTCGCTAGTCAAAGAAGCTGATCTAATGTGGAATCCGATGTCTTCTTCTCTAGGACACTTCGAGAAGCAGCAAGAGTGCCAGTTTGTGAGAACCGAAGGCCGGCCAAACCGGCGTGATGTAACCCAGCGATGTGTGTGGTCAGAGGCCCATCTAGATTCGCACTCCAATTCACGGAGGGGAGCAGTGGGAACAGGAGTGTGGACCCTTCCCACTCCCCCAGTGAACAAGAAAGAGCAATCCTTAGAGCTTGGATTTATATTGAGGACTATGTAAACTAAGAACTTGGTCCACTGAGCAACCCTAAAAAGGTCAAAAGTTGATCCAGTCCCTAGGCAGGATCATGAATTAATGTCAATGGCCCCACATTTAAATCATGACACTAGTTCACCTCTGTTAAGTAGTTTGTGTTCTTTTCTCCTATCTTGACAAATACATATCTTTATACCTGTCTAGGTACAATGATGATTTCTGTATAACTGTCAGCAAAACATCCCCATGGACTTAAAGATGATATAGATTTGGGGTTTTGCATGGCAGGCAGTGCTTATGTGAATAATACAGCCAGGTATATGCATCCATATCTGTATGTATCTGTAATGATACTTACTTCATACAATGTGTTTATTGATTTCATTTAAAAAAACTACCAAGAGTGCTATTAGACTCACTATTTTCACATAGATTTTTTGTGTGTCCTATTGGCAGGACAGCATAGTCAGTGTCTATCATAGAATCAGAGATACCCCAGGAGTCCCTGGAATGTGAACCTTGCTCGAGGAACTGGACCTTCCAGAAGCCTGGGAGGAGCTGAGCAGGGCTGGGCTACAAAGGAGGGCATAGAGAGAAAGCTGTTTTTCTCAGTCTTCTGAGCTTGGATCAACCCGTCAGTGTTCGCAGGTGAAGGCAACCACCCATGCAACGTGGGAGTACAGTAGAGCAATGGAGAGATCCGCAGGATTGTGGTTTAGTCCATTTCATGTGAACAACTCTTGTTTGCTAGGCCAGGAACAAGTAGAATGTTCTGTCACATCTGGCCCGTGGAAGGGGTATAGGAACCTCATGACCTCACCCACGTAGTGAACCGTCGCCAAAGACAAAGAATTCCTACAGCCAGACGTTTGCAACCACGAACCCTGTCCCTCCATCGCCTGGCGTTTCAGAATGCTACGTGGAACCCTTTCAAGAAGCTTGGGGCGGAAAAAAAAAAAAAGAAAAAAAAGCAGCAGCAGCAGCAGCTTGGGGCTTGGAGGTATGGACCCCTGAATTCTCCTCGCTCGGCTCTCCCTGCAAGAAAACGTTGTGTGCTTGCCTGCGCCCCACATGCCAACTTATCGGGGGATCGGACCTCCCAGGGTGCCCCCGCACCTGGCACCCTGCCTGCGTGCGACATCCCAAGAGATCCTATGGAGAAACATCTCCGGCCACTCGCATGGCATCTGCATCGCTGGCAAGTGACCCTTCAGACCTCCACATAGATACGTGAGCACAAACTCTCCTTCACAGTCTGGGACACCTCGTAGGCTGTGTGAGCTCCTCTGGTTCAGCACTCCCTCGATTTGGCTGTGGTTTTGGTTCTGTTCTGCTCTGTTCTGTGTTTGCTTTTTGACCCGCATGATCTCTCTGGATAGGGCACCCCCAATCAAAGTGAAAATAAATCGAGTCTGTGTGAATACTATTCATGCATCAAGTGGGGATATCAACGACCTCTATGTGGATCCATAAAAATGGCCGTGTGGTGTTCAGGAGGATCATTCTGTGTTTTCTGGGTGCACTATTTGCTGTCCATTATTTCACGTGCCTTTTGGGCATGGCTGATGGAGACGGACACGAAGCAGCAGGGCAGCAATCTGGCATCTCGGCCTAGAGCGGTTTCCCAAGTGACATCTCAGAACAGGGGCTGAGAAGGCCATGGTCACCCCTCCCTGGGCCCCCCTCGGTGGCCAAGGGGTGGGGGTGGGGGTGGGGCTGACGTTGGAGAGACGGGGGTGGGGGTGGGGGTGGCGGTGTAGAGCTGGGCTAGGGGTTGGGGGCGTGCGAGGCGAGGGGACCGGTCCAGGTCCCCCTGACAAGTGAAAAGTGAAGGCAGGTTCTCTCCCGCTGAGAACTTCCTGTCTTCACGCATGTGAGAGGAGCAGGTTTCTCTCTGATCCACGGCCCTGCATCGTTTTCAGCCTGTTCAAAAAAAAAAAAAAAAAAACAGACAAAAAACGTATTTGTTTATCTCGGCTTGTTTTCCGGCCCAGGCCAAAGACCTCTTCGAGCCTGTCCAAAGGATCTGACAGGATGGGAGGGTGCAGGTCAATCCATGTGTCAAGAAGAGATCCAGGGACTCTGTCACAGCTGTGACTCG